GCGTGTAAGACTTTGTTGGAGTAGTCTGTGAGAAACTAAAGTTGGATTATTTTTGCGTTAATTAATACGTGTGTTTATTTTAAATTACATTGTTATTTTTGACTGTCATACAGCTGTGAATCCTGTTAAAAGATTATATATGAAGACGAATTAGATCAGCTGACCACAAAATATAATTTTCATTGGTTGTTTTTTTAGCATTTATCTTTTTCTAAGCGCGAAAGCAAAAGGTTTCCTTTTTCTTTATGATTTAGTAAAGAGTTACTGAGTCGTTGGATAAAGTTAGATTTGATTGACCCCTTTCTTTTTCTTTCGTCTCTTGTCGAAAGGCTGTCAACAAAAAAGTGTTTGTGTTCCTGTCTTAAAATTTAAAAGACCAATTAGTAAAGAGACTCCAGTACACACATGCATGCTATTGTCACACCTCGTGTCATAATAAAAGGAAATAAATAAAAATACCAAGTTTTGAAAATGATAAAGAGAAAATATTAAATCATAAAAACACGCTTATTTAAGTTAGAAGAGGGAACTTGCGTGTGGCTTTATGTATATATATATATGATAAACAATTAAAATTTAAATTTATGCATAAAATAATTTATCATTGCTCGTCTAAACTGCGTCTAAAAAGGAATTTTTAAAATTTTATTTCGTTTTTTCCGGTTTGACAGCAATAGTTACACAACATCTGCTCACAATAAATTCACTGTAAGACACAACGGCAAAATTTAATGGTGAAATAAAATAAAGAAGAAAGTGACAATAACGTCCTTTTAAATATTTATTTATTCATTTTTGCTCTTCTTTACCTACTCGTTACCGCCGTCCGGATAAACTTGACTTCGGGTTACCGCCTAAAGAACGCTACCTCTTGTCTAGAAATAAAGATTTTTGTAGCAGTTGCTGACGGTTGTCGAAAAAACTATAATAAATATAACATTGCTAAAATTATAAAATATAATAGATATTATAATTGAAAAAATTTACAGTTATTCTCATTTTTAAATATTTAGTGTTACTGTTAGTTAGTGTTACTGTTACTGTATGTAGTGTTGAATCTTTGAACATGAATTCTTCCTCATTTGTTTCTTAAAAAAGATGACATTTCTTCACAAAAATTGAACACAGCAACGGTTTGATAAACGTAACAATATGGAACTTGAAAATGCATTTTGAAATTATATCACTAAGAGATTAGATGACATGACATTTTATTTTCACAAGACGTACTCCATTTGCGTGATGGATAGATCTAAAAAAAACATTCCGCGTGTGATACACGCCTCTGAAAGTTAAGGTAAAAAAAACCCTAAAAATGAAGCAAGCTTTGAAATTTGCTCGTGTTTCTTGCTACTGCTCTCTTCACTTCTTGGCGGTTGTAAATGTACCTAATGCTGGAAGGATTGATACACAAGCCTTCGGGGTAGGAATAAAACAGTAGCTACAAGACAGTGCTCTCGGGAGGTAAGCAACCAAGAGTGACAAGTTTAAATCAATGCAGAAGCAGCAGTAGCACTAAGAAGATAAAATGGAAAGAAGAATACAAAAAAAAAAAAAAAAAAATTCGGGACCTAGTCTCTTCACCACGTGACTGACCCTCTTCTCCTTTCTTTCTTGTTCTTTCTTACTTCACATGTGATTCTTTTTATTTTGACAGTTGAATTGAATCGTTTATATACCTAGCTCCTTATTTGATGCCCAGCTTTTTTTTTATCTGTCTTTCTCTTTTCCTTTCTTTTAAGTGTAACGAGTTTGCTTAGAGATCGATGTTTCAAAATATTTCGATTTCGTGACTAAAACGTATCATCAGATACAATGACTAGCAGTTATTAAAAAATAACGAGTCCGAGTGACTTAAGCCAAGCATGATATGATGAATGAATCAATAATTGGCTTTATTATTATTTTCGTTAATAATCGTTACAAAGTAATATTTACTATACACCTCAACCAATACAGGCACTCAACATAAAATTGATGAAATGAAACCGTTTTAAAATTTCAATGCTTAATTTACAAATGTTTAAATATAAACTAATAAAAATTCAGATAAAAGAACATATAAAATACATTTTTGACAGCTCGGTAATCGATATAGTTATTTAAAAAAAAATTAATTACAGATATAAAAAAAACAAAACAATTATATATGGTTCATTTGTGTTGTCACACGACTGATAATGAATTCGTAGTAGAGAGAATATTCTTGGTTTGTGGGGTGGGCACTCGGTTGAAGTACAAATGGAAGCGTACTGGTTGTTATAATTTAATTAAGTTCGATCCTAGTCAGAAGCTTACAAAATGTTACTATCAGCTAGGACTGGTTTGATCCAATTGTGAAGTAAAAAAAAAAAGCACACTTTTTATGTTTTAAATAACCACACTAGACCACTACGTTTTTTTTTGTTTTTTTTTTCTCAGCAAAGAAAAGTAGAAAATGTGTAAGGATATTAATTAATGTTCAGTTAAAATAAGAAAAAGAACAGAGATGATTCTAATTTTAAAACGTATAACGGTTTAATAGACGTATATTAATTGAAAATTATTTGTATTACGAAAACAGTGTTGAAAACAATAAAAAATATTTGAATAATAGAAATATATGTTATTTAATTTTGTACTTATTGATACTAAAACTAGTTTAAAGGAGATACCCAGTTCAGAAGATAATGGAATGTATCAACCTTCGTGGATAGAAGATGGTATATGAAAAAAAATGGAAGAAGCGGGTTAGAGTTTTGACCATAATTAAATCTCGAGTTCGAGAGAAGATGACGAAAAAAGAAAAGAAACAAAAACAATATCGAATACTGATCAGATGACAGATGTTTGGTGTTGCGCGCCACCCTGAGGTAAAGTTCAGTTCAATTGGAGCAGAGTCGAGGACGGCGATGAACCAAGATTCGTTTCCGGCTCTTCAGGTTAAAAACGCCAAAGTCCAGACGATAGAAAAGAATGATGGTGACGATTGAGACAACAATAATAAGAATAGAAAACACGACGATATATTGATACTGATATCGTCCGAGACGAAGGCAACGTGCTTGCTGGAGGTCTTATGAATCCTACGAACTGTGATCAGGTGTCCTGCTCCTTTGGGTTCCTCTTTGCCCCCACGGCACAAACGATTGTAATGTGCGCTGTGGAACTTCACCAAGACAGCAATGGCTAATCAGTATTGGTTGTCGTCTTCATATAACGATGTGAACACTTGTCTCCTATAATAACAGGTGTGAGTCATTTTTTTGTTTGTTTTGTTTTTGTTTCTGTAGAAGCCTGATGCAACTTGAATAAAAATATCGTGACTGTTAAGAACGCAATATATTTATAAAACTCAAAGTTGCTTGTAGAGAAAATTAAGCCGTAAAACTATATTTTACAAATCCGAAAATGCTGCCCTTTTGAATGAGGTAAATTAGTCCCTTTACTGAGTCAATATTTATTTTGTTGTAACTTGGAGAGCACATGTTATTTTTACAGTACTTACTATTCCTAAATGGTCACCTATCTCAAAGTACTGAGTAGGCTCATCGCTACTTAACTCCCATGATATGGCGGAGACAAGTACTTTCAGCGTGACTTAACAAGCAGAGGTTTGTTACAGAGTAAGAACGATGTTAAGCAGTCTATATTTCTCCTCTGGAGACGAAAATCTATCTATCTATCTATCTATCTATCTATCTATCTCTCAGTCAGCTTCTTTCTATCTATCTAACTCTTCTTTCTATCAAACTCAGTCAGCATCTATCTATCTATCTATCTATCTATCTATCTATCTATCTATCTATCTATCTATCTATCTATCTATGTAACTCAGTCATCGTCTTTCTATCTATCTATCTATCTATCTATCTATCTATCTATCTATCTATCTATCTATCTATCAAGCTAATTAGCTATCTCACTGTTTATATCTATTCTCTTTATATATATATATATATATATATATATATATATATATATATTTAGGCCGTCTTCGTGGGCTAATCAATAGAGTAGCTGCCGCATTAAGACAGACGTTGGAGAATAAAAGATCAGAGATTGAAACATTATTCTATTTACGATTCCTATTGCTTAACGATCATGAACTAACGACCTGGAAATTGCAATGAAAAAACCAATTAAAATTAAGCTGAAAGAAATATCATTAAAAAAAATAATAATTGATAATATTTCATCTAAAAGTTAGAAAAAAAAAAAATAAACAGTAAGTATATTTCACGACCGTTCTAGATGTATATTAGCCTTTCACTCTTTGTTAATAATCCAAGACCCTAACTATTAGAGAAGGAGGTTTTATACTCTGCTTTCTCGGATTAGCTCTCGAATTTGAAAATGCAGGGAATTAGACGTGACAGATAATTAAGCGGTCATTTCGTCCACTTAACTAATTAGCACAAATCAGTTTGAAACAAAAACAAGAGCCCGATAACGGGCAGGGAAAGGTTTACCCTGCAACTGTTTATTAAAGGTGACAAAATGGCGGATGTTCCGGACGTCAAGGGAACCGAATGACGAAGCATTAATGATTACAAGCCAAAGAAAAGGAAAGTAGAAAGAGAAAAACAGTCTGGAACTTGTGCAGGAGAAAATAGCCGGGACAGCAGCGTTCGGTTTTCTTGTTAGTGCTCGTGCACCAATTTCGAGCTTTTCGTGGGAGTAAAAAGCGTCTAACGAACATTCAAGAGCTCAGGTCAATTTTTCTTCCAGCTATTACTCGTTGCGATAAAAAACTGATTTTAATTCACCAACGTTAGGGCTTATACCTTATTCATTAGGATCTGTTTCTTAGTCTTTATCACAAAGTTTCGACCATTATACTCCTCAGCCTTCATTTCTGAGACGGAGTGTTACTATTATTATGTAGTGATTCATTCAGACCACTTTCCTCTCCCTTGATAATGTTTCCTCTACTATACTCTCTGGCTTTCATTTCTAAAATAAAAGCCGCCTCGGTATGGGGTAATGTTCAGCCTGATTGATCGTTCCTACTGCTACCGGCAATGTCATATTGAAACACCGGTTCTCATTCATCGATCACCGAAGTTAAGCACCGTCAAGCCTGGTCAGTACTTACATAGGTGACCGCTTAGGAATACCAGATGCTGTAAGCTTCTAGAAGTTGCGATTGATGTAATGAATAGAGTCTCGGAACGAGAAATCGGAGAGCCGAGTTCGAATTCTAGTCGAGTTCGCTGCATTCACTTACGCACAAATACCCTTAGGAAATGTATGAATTTACCTCTTCTACCCCCAGCTATAGGTTAAATAGTAGGACTTGTATCTGGAAGAAACATTGTTATAGGTACAATTTTTTCCCAACTCTTCTAAGATGTCCTCAGCCAACACAAAAGAGGAAGCTTCACCAAACCACATGACAATGTCAAAATTAACTTTGGAGAGAGTTGAGTCATGCGCAGAGCCAGATCAAGGAAGTAGCGGGCGGTCGTCCGGGGTGCTATCAAGGCCGAAGGCGCCTTCATACCGCGATGTCATGTGTTCGAGATCTTCCAAAACTAAAGCTTATGAAAACATATTTACAGTCGTCCATGACTGAAGACAAATTAAATTATTTGGTTATTTTGTCAATAGAAAATGATCTTTTAAAAAAGATAGGCGAAGAAAGTGCCATGAAAAGATCTGCAGATCTAAAGGCTAGAAAAATGTATTAGGTAGGATAATGAATGTTTTATTGAGCTCTTATTATAAGTTGTATATTGTAACAAATTCGTTATTCTACATATTCAGCTTTTCTCCTTGTGAAAACTTTCAAAAATTATACTTGTAAGAACACCGAAGTTCAGCTTGTCGGGGGTTGCAGCAACCCTAGTGACGTCACTGGTCATGCGAGTGCACATAGGTGGAAAAAGTGTTCTGTGATGACTGATTAGAGTTTTATCCTCACTAGATGTCCTATGCAAAATTTGCATTTTTTTCCGGGCCATAGAAATTTGCGCCAATAGGTGTAAATCAAGAGAGATCAGTTTCAACACCCAAGCATCTTGACGACTTTCATAACTATCGGTTTTATCGTGAGTGAATAAATTTACAGCCAGATTATTGGCAGCACGGTGTTGATTTTAATAGTACTTAATTTGATTAATAAGGTTGTGTGTTGAGCCGAGTTTTACACTTTAAAGTATATGAATCAAAATAATCATTTGCTCCAATTTGTGAGAATCGGTTTAAATTTATGCCAAGGTCAGAGGTCAAATAGAAATTTCTTATTGCCATGACTTTTCCGGCTGTAGGCAATCATGGCACTCTATAGATGCTATTTCTGTATTATCTGTGAAAAGGCCATAACTTCTTGGAAAAGATAATTGAGTGGTTCCCCGTTGCTTCCTCCACAGTTTTGGATTATGTACAATAATGGATCATATGCAATTATAGGTGAACAATTCAACTAGAAAAATTGAAAATAAATACGTTTCCAAATAAGAATTAGAGACATGTCATAATAGATCAATCTATCTTAAATAAATTAACAATGTTTTACGGCAATTTTTAACATCAACTATAGATTTTTCTTATTAAAATTTTGAATAATTTTAGCACATTCAGCATTATAGATAGAAAATAACGAATTTTAGTGTTTTTTCGCGACTTAGCATGAGCAAAACATAAACAGATTTGAACAAAAGAAAAAAATGACCCCAGAATAACGTCAAAATTTTTCATCCTTTAATAGTCAGTTGGGCTTAGTCTAATTTGTAACATTTATAAATGTAGGGAGAAAAAAGTAAATATAGATAAGATAGCAAGGGTCACAAAACATTATCCGGGGTCCCCAATCAGGCTCTCCCCGATCGGGAGGTTCGGGGGTAGTATGCGCCGCTTCTGAATGTTTCAAATGTCCAAGGCAACAGTAAATATATTAAATCTAATTTTATTTATCAAAAGAACAAAAAGGATATTAGATAGTAATTTCTAATGGTAACTGTAACAGAAGCAGAGATGACATTAAGGATTCAAATATCCACGACAACAGTGAATGTGTTAAAACAATTTGCTTTGTGAATAGTGAGCAAGTCCAAGCATGTTTGTTTTCTCTGTGCAACGAAAATAGCAAATGCGGTTTTACGACACAAATAATATTTAAAAATAATAAATCCTATTTTTAAATCAGTATTTAATTTGCCAGACACAAAAATGTTTCGGAAGTTGCAGTTTTTCTCTTTCTCTCTTGATCATTCCTTCTCAATTTCTGTCATTTTCCCTCTCCCCTTCTCTCTCTCTCTTTTTCTCCCTCACTTTTATGCCCCGTCTTTCTTTCGTTTTGTCTCACCCTGTGCCTTAAACCCTTCCCACTCCTTTTAGATGCCGAGTATAATTTCCAATTGCGTACATACCGTATTTTCTTGTGCATAATACGAGAAATTTTGAGCGAAAATGAAAGGCAAATAAATAAATAAAAAATGGGGTTATATTATAAACAAGTACACCTTTTCAGAAACTTTTCCTCGGCTTAAAACACCTTTTATTTGAAACAGCAAGATTACAAATACACCCAGTTTTGTTTACAAAATTGTAATGACAAAAGTACGAAGGTGTAAGCTTTAAGAAAGCTTTATTCAACTTAGAATACAAAATTCGCGTATAGTGTCCTTTTATAGTCCCTGTAAACAGAAATAGCTCTCTCAAAGAGGAGAGCAATAAAACAAGGGGAGGCCACTCTTGATTATTCATAACAAAGATAAAGTTTGTTTATATTTTGATTTTCTTGTTTTGTTTTAAGTTTTCTTTCTTCATTCTTAATGAAAGACATTATTTTTTATTTTCATAGTTTAATATATAGAAACATAATAAAGCTATATTAAACAGAAAAGTATGATAGATTAATTAACACCTTAAAATATATTTCGAGTTAGCACCTCTCACCAAAAATTTAAAAATGAGTTTCAAAACGGAAACGGAAATTAGGAGAAGGAACACACATTGGCTAAACATCCGGTTCATTTCTTTTCTTTAATACCGTTAAAAATTAAATATTTTAGTGAAATGTATGTACGGACTTGAGATTTTAATAGATGATATGGTACAACTTTTCAAGGAAATTACATATGGATGGCTGTACTAGGGGTCGTATTATACTCAAGCATATAATTTATTTATTGGTTTTAGTTTCAGAAACACAGTGTTATATTCTTCTCAAGAAAATACGCAAGAAAATACGGTATGTACATGTATTGTCAACAGCCGTCTTCGTGTGTAACAATCAATTTAGCTATTTTGCTATGTTAGTTATAGCTTGAAATGACTTCATTGTGAAAATTGGCGCAATTTTTGTGTCGTACAAAACTAAGTTTGGTTTGATATAAAAAAAATTAACTTTCTCGGGGTTAAAATATTTGTATGGTGACCATACGTTCCGCAGTTCAAACAAACTTGATGACTAGTGGTAAATGATAATGATGAAATTAGCCGTTTCCTTATAAGGAAACATTCGGCATTCATTGACCGAACAGCGTTACTGTCGCTTGAAACTTATAAAACACTCCTCTTAAAAGAGATAGGTTTCCCAAGTCCCCTTTTATCGCTCTTTTTAGTATTTCCCATCTAACCTTTTGTTTAAAGTATTGTGGAAGGTCAACCTTGATTGTACCATAATTCTGTCTTCGCCCATCCTGGGTAAGACGATAAACTACGTCCAACAGCAAGGCCTCTGATTTGGAGGTTTTGGGGAGCGTGGAACCACCTCTTAATTGCTGGTGTTCCCAGGTCCACCCTGACCCGGGGTGGTAGCACCTGTTAGGATCTCAGCTATGGGCAAATAGTTAACGCCCGAACTTGTGTAAAAATAGGTTTTAATACCAGAAATACTTTGTAATAAAAAAAAACATTATCCAACAATAATTTTTAAAGGAAAAAATTATCAGCAGCAATACTTAATACTAGAGGGCACAGAATTCCCAATATTCACTACATGCCGAGAGAAATTTACAGTGAAACATTTACTGTTAGGGTGTGTAGATTTTGATCTAGTGTGAACAAAATATTACCAAGTGAGTAATTTAAAAAAAAAACTTTTTACGAAAATAAAACCATACAAGATTTCCTAAAAGAAGTTGGATTGTACTCAAAAATATAAGTAATTGAAAAATGGTTCAAATATATATGTATACATACACATCTTTTTTTTTTTTATCAAACTATCGCTATGAATCTATTTCAAAAATTTTGTTGGCATTAAATGACCGGCTGAGGTTGATATGTCATAAAGCAAAACAACCAACCAACCATCTTCGAGTTAAAGCGATTTTCCAAACGTAGCTTAGATGTGGCACAAGGCCGAAAGTATGGGGCACCCAATGAGGATCAAACTCATTACTTTGTCGTAACTGTCCTAGTGAGACAAGCTTGCTAACCATTGCACCACGCCGAGGTGTCCAAACCATCTTCGAGTTAAATGGGCTACAGAAAAACTGATGAAAGCATAAATCCTTTCATAGACATGGACACAGGAAAGTTTTCGTGCTAGACAATTTCTCTCGTATATATTTATAAGTCTACCATTCGTCCATGCTTTGAATATTGCTATCACATTCTGGTGCTCCAGCTATAGATTTATAAAATCTAAAAGAACCTGCAATATTATTGGTTCTAACTTGGCATCTTAGTTTCAGTCACTTTCCCATCGCTGTAATGTAGCTTCCTCTGTGCCTTTTCTATAAATACTTTCATGATAATTGTTCTGATGAAGTTTTCTCGATTTCAATAGTGAAGTCAATTTAATTATTACTTAGTGCCCCTCTACTGTGGCTTTGTATTAAACTAACTATCGTTCGGGAAATAACTTTACTAAAAATAAAGATGAATAGTATAGATAAATATACTAAACAATTGGGACACCCTCAAAAATATTCCAACTCGCAGTTTTCCATTTTATATCATGAAACAAATCTGTAAACGCGCGAGACCTCCTGCATTAAAGAAAGTGTCACGCTCAGTTATTTTCTTGGTTGTGTTTAACAGCTGTTTTTTAAAGCGTTTTCTTCACCATTGTTACTTCTCAACTCCATTTTTTTTATCTTAACAATCCCCTTTTATACAAAGAGAAACTGCATTTTTTAACCTATTTTTCTTTTCTCGAGTGATATCCACCATCGTAA